AAACCGGCTTTTTTCAGTTCAAGTCCGAAAAACATGTTAAAAACGGTCAGCACCTATAAAAGATATGAAAACCAATAAAATGGTTTGGACTGAGAAATTTAGCATTTCTACGTTTAAGTCAATTTGATCTACTGAGAAGTTGGCTGTTCAAAAATGCAGTAGGATGTCATTCCTGGGCTTTAAAGCCTGACACAGCTAGCATTCTGCTGGTTCTATGCTGGGTACACTGAATGACGCATACGCTGGTGATCCGCAATTTCGCAGGCACTGACCCGCAATTACGCTGGCACTGATCTGTTTTTACGCTGGGACTAATCCGCAATTGGACTGGCTCTGACCCGGAATCACGCTGGCACACTGATGGTTTCCTACCGTACCACCGGTTCCATGCCGGGGATCTGTGTCGGGAGCTCGCTGGGAACATCCCGTATTCCCGGCATCCCGGTTTCCCAATAAGGTCCCGGTACCGGCCGGATTCCGGCATTGGGCCCGGCCGATGTCGCCCCTTGGGGCGTTTCCGGTACTGGCCGGTATCGCTATCCCGGCAGGCCAATACCGCCCCATCCCCAACCCGGCGTGTTGTGCTACTTGGGTAATGCTGGAAATATGCACTGGCCAGTCATCACCTTCTCCTCCGGTCCCTCCGCGCGCACCCGAAACTTGCATCCTTAATGTTAGTTTCTCTGTTAATACTTACTCTTTGTTGTAATAAAACAGTACCCTTATTATTGCAGCGTCTGTCTCCAGCACACAAATACTTGAAGTATTCTCCTGACACTGTCGCACTTTCCTTGCTCATCGAATCTGGCTCGGCGTTCATAACCGCGCTGAATGGAAAGTAGCTCAGTGCAACTGTTCCCACCATCGTCCTCCTTGCATCAATTACCCATGTTCGTGTTAATTATAACAATTTTAAAGCGAAATAAGTATACGATTTGCTCATTTTGTAATAATTGTTTAATGGACTTCAGTTTTACTGATACAAATTATTCTACACTGTTTGTTGCGGCCAGTAAAACCACACATAATTTCACTTAACTTTTTTTTAAATCTAAACCTATTACTCACCTCTCAGTGCTCAACGAAATCTGAGAATATTATTCACTTATTCCTAACAATTTAACCTTCCGTTTTTTTCTATAATATATGTAAACAGGCTTTTCCATCGTGCCGTTAGCATTTAACGTCTTCTGTGGTCGGGTCCAGAACAAACGAAATACTACCAGCAAACGGAGAACTGGTTTTAAAAGAAAAATCGAATCGTTGTCTTTATGTTTATACAGCTGGAAGTCGATCTGCCTTAGTGGGCGTCTGGTGTCTTAGCTGTAGATAACCAATTTAGCCAGAGCGGTACAACCACTAGCCTGGGGTTTTTTAACGTGCACCACGCAGTAGTGATACACGACCGCACGCCGGTACGATGCTCATCCAGATCGAAACGGGCAGGGGTGGGGCTCGAACCCAGGATCCCTGGGTTCTGCAGCGCGAGCTTTCGCTTCACGTGCTACGAGTTGGTGTGCGCTAGCCCGCTCGGTAATCGATCTTTTTCTTTTCTTTTTTATTGCAACACAGACAACACGCGTCCATTCACTTTGAAAGATACTGTGCAAGATTCTTGCAGGGCACGTCAAAAGGCTCTCATTCCAAAAGCAATTAACAGACTCGATTACCGATCCCCTGATATGTCTTACAACAGAGTCCCTTGACCGCGGTGTTTTTTGTTTGATAAGCAGTTTCATCATATATCATGTCGTGTAAAACGCACTAAAACTAAATCTTGTTAAAAAAAGAAAGTTGTCTTGATCTTTTTGATAAACCCAGGGAGCACAGAAAGTATCGTACGGGCCTTTCACGTGCACTATGATATTCTTTGCTTGTTTACGGGAAGCTTTCGGCGGCTTCGGATTTGCTAGACACAGGACATATTGTAGCGTTCTTGGGGTTTATCATAATAGTCAAGACAGTTAAAATATATTCAAGAGTGATGTGGGTTACGACTCACGAGCATGTTTTAATCAGACATTTCCCATGAGTTCTGCTACATTTGTGGGTCCGCGTAAAGCCTTGAATTGGTGATGTTTTTGGGGTGCGAGGAACCCCTTGTGGTAACTGAAGTGTCCGGGAGAGCATGAGGTTTAGTCCTTTACCCTTTTTATTTACTGATCTGTGAAGTTTGCGGTCGGTTTGCCTTGCTGCCTGCCCGACCCGAAGGAATAACACGGAGGCAGTGGTTTTAAGAACAAGAAGTTAGATTTAATTGGACATGGACGAGACGATGAAAAATACTAACAGAAAACCAAAGAGCACCGGCGGCGCTTGAGTCCAGCCAGCGACGGCTCGTGTCTCTAATTGTAATCTGTGAAATAGACAGAAATACGTTTCCTTGCTCCCTTGAGGAATCCTCCTCAAGGAAACAAGACGGGAGATTTCTCAATCACTTCGTCCAATTATGTTAGCTCCTGTTCATCAAGAACACTTAGACGTAAACAAATACAAAGAAAGGGGGCGTCAAGTTATGTTTTGGCCCAAAATGGCCAGGAACATTGATGCCTATGCGTGCCAACGTGCACGACATGTAAGAAGTACGCATATCGGCAACCCCACGAGCCGCTGATCATGCGACAAGCGTCTTCGTACTTATGGCATTGTGTCAGTCTCAGCTAGTTTACTCACGGTTGTCACTCTTACTAAGTGAAATGATGCCTATTCAAAACTACCCAAAGGTTGGATGACTTTAAATCATCTGTTCTCAAACGGTCATCCGTACGTTGGCATCTTGGTTTGCAAAAGCAAGGTATACCGACAGACGTTTGTACAAACAATGGTACCCAACTTATTTCATTAAAGTTTTAGTGTTTTTCAAGACTTTATGACTTCAAGTACGTGACATCAAGACACCACTTTCCACAGTCCAGTGTACTCTCTTAAAATTAGTGCAAATTGTAAAACGAGTTTTCAAGAAAAAACATTGACGCGGGGGACGAATATAATGTAGGTTTATTAAGTCACCGGTGTTTTCCTTTGGAGGGTGGACGGTCTCCTGGTGCATTGAGGTTTGTAAGAAAGCTGCGAAAACGACTTCTTGATTTTTCATCGCGTCCAGGGTATTTTGTGAGCAAAACACACCAGAATGATACGGCTGGAATATCGTTGACCGGCCTGAGGAGGGGTGATGTCATCCGCCTACTGGAGTGAAAACACAAGGGGCGTTGACTTTGCCGGGCCACGCTCGTATTACGTCCGGACAGAACGCAACAAAGTATACCGGAAAAACCGTTATTTGCTCAGAACGCCTGAGACATATAGCAACCTTGATGATAACAATATGTCAACAAAGCAACCCCCAGATGATGACACTATCCCGCAACAGAAAACCCCGGACGCAAGAGTAATTGTAAGATCTCAAAGAAATTCAGACACAAATCAGCCTTTCTTAAGTTAATCCTCGGACACCAGTGATCCTCAAGTGGCTGCGACGCACCCACTCAGAAGGACAAGAGAAACAGGCGCTCGCCTTAGTAGCTAACTTGCGATGAAGGATTTGAACAACTTTCATATCTTTTATACAGTATGAAATTTCTCTTTATAGTGTTATTTTTAATCTGCTACAATGTTTTTTTTATTCTGTGTGTTCAGAAGAACAGTAATAAACAGACGCTCGCCTCATCGACTAACTTACAATGAAGCATTTGAACAGCTCTCATAATATTTTTATTCGTGTAAAACATGCCTTTCGTGGAGTTATTTTTTATTTGCTTTGATGATATTTTTTGTCTTTGCGTTCTTTAAAGACCGGATGATGTATCGGTGCTCGCGCAGTAGCCATGTTAAAGGTGCGTTTTCTTGAATAGAAGCACGAGGCCGATTTTCTTAGCTGGCTTCAATGGATGCAGATGTTTAACCGATGTTAGCGATAGCAGGCGAACCTACCAGTTGCTACTCTTGACACGAGAGATTTAGTGACGAAAGACAGTTAAAAGCAAACTGAGCCGTCGCCAAGCCGGAATTTTCTGTGCCCACAAATACCCCTCCTCCCCGATCCTCTGTGCCGCAGAGCAAATTATATGACATTTAAGGCCACGGTCCCACTGAATGTGGCAGTTTAGGTACTTTTTGGCAGGTCATTACTCACCTCCTCTTAAGTACTGTTTTGTGGGATTGATGTCATTCGAAAAGCAATGCAATCCTCTTTCATTTCATATTATGTATGTGTTGGTTTTTACTGTTCATGCGCGTTTGGAGCGTTGCGAATATGATGGCGCAGCGCTGAGCGCGTACCGGCTCAATAGCTCACCTTGGCCTATGTACAAAGTTGCTGCCCGAGATTCTCCTTGGTGCACGGTCTCTCGAAAGCCCTGGCATCAGCTGTAGTTCTGTTGCAGGTAGTGCGGGGTACACAACATTCGTTCCTTCACAGACTTAGAACCCATAACTTCTTCGTGGTCATTTGTTTATTGTTGTCTGTGTTTCAACGGTATGTATTGCATCCCCTTTTCTCTGATTCGCATTTCGGCAGCAGCGTCAGCCAGTTCCCGCTGCACACTTTGATAGGCGGAAGCTCCTTCATTATTTCCTTTCCGTCTTTTCCGTTAAATGGGATCGCTTCCTCTGAAGCTGCGAATAAACTTGAGTGGCAAGTATTTGCTAGTGGTGCCTTTTTTGAACACCTGTGATGTGAATTTTATTTAAATATTTTCCTCCTCGTTTTGACTTCAAGATTGCTGGAGGTATTTATGCAGACAATTTTAGTCTACGGCTGCACGCTTAACACCTCCACCTTTTTTTCGCTGGCTGACCTGGGCTCCCCTGAATTACAAAAAAAAACACTAATTGAAATTTGGAAATTCGGGTCAATATTTCTGGAGGAGTAAAAATAAGCATCTACTCACCTAAATTCAAAGGTGCGACAGGTAATGCAGTATAACAGCATTGTGCTGTAGAAGCTAGCTAGATGCCGACGATGATAATCGTGTAAGTTCAGTAGATATTTATATTTCCAGGCTGGACATCGTGGAGAAAAATGGTGGCAGTATATTAAACACTATTTTGGGTGAGTATACAATCTTCAGATTTCGACGCGAAGTTAAATGATTCGAAAGGATTACTTCAGACTGAATGTTAACCCGTGTTTTCCCGCGATATTGTTTATTCACGATAATTTGATTTAACTTGAAGAACTGCGGACCCTATTTCAAGCCCTTGCAGGCTGTAAGTGTTATATAACATTAGGAATAAAAATCCTACTTCGCCTTAAGTATAATGATAGCACGTCGCAAACTCCCTTTGCACGCGATTGAAGTTTCGGTTTTCTTTACAGATTATTGTGGCAAAAAATGCGTTCTGGCAATGCTTTGGAGAATATACGAAATATTCGTGTGAAAATTATATGAATAGTCTACTAAACAAAAACGAACATAAAAATGTTTATATGATATTTTTTTATATCACACTCACTCTTGGCTAGTTGCCTTCATGAGTCTATCTACGGAAGTAAAGGATAACAGCACCACCAAGAACAAGCCTCTTAAAAAAATCAAAGGAGAGTACGGTCATCGCGGTTCTTCGCCAGCAACACAAGGCGACAATACTTACTAGTTATTTTCAAGGTTGAAAAATAGTTGTTACTGCAATGCGTGATCGCTCGCATGTTTCTGTGAGTGACCACGGACGATTGTGCTTTACTTCAGTAAGGATGCACAGAAAAAATCACTCCGGAACCTGGAAAAACATTCGGGATTAAACACACGCGAAGCATCATAGATAACATACAAGAGCAGGAGTTGAAAGGCGGTGGGAGGGAAGCCAGTGTGGAAGTCTGCCTATATACGCGGATGGGTCAGACCATAGCCGTCTGTATACTCTGTGCCTGGCAGACTGCGCCGAATACAATGGGGGCTGACCGTCGAAGCAGTTGCGCTCCGTCGCCGCAACGCCGTTTGGGGGCGCCACCGTGTGAGGATTCGTAGCAGACGACACGATACCTCCCGAGGCGTTTGAAAGGCGCAGCTGAATGGTCTAACCGTGTTTGCCGGGTATATTTCGTGTTTTTACTGTCGAGGTTTGCCTACGCTAATAACCTGACAGTGTTATTTACCGAAAGTTCTTTAAGCGAACCTAATAGCGTACAATTGCACTTTTCTTCCTTTTAATCATCTTGCTTGCATTGCTGCGAGTGATGCCGCAGCGGCAAACGGAGCCGGAATAGCTTAGATTTGGACAGCGTGGACAGTTTTCACACGACCTGACATCACAACGTCATTACAAACACCACATTTACAGAATATTGAAGGACGCCATATGAAATTTAGCATTAAATGACAAAGCATAGTATTTCTGTGAGCAGTGTGGCCGTATCTAATGGATCCAAAAATCGACAACTGAGCATAAGCGATTTTTTGTCCATGTGTTTGTTCCAACTGCAATATTGAAATTGTCAAATAACACTTAACCTCGTCGGAAATTATCAATTTTACGTTTCATCCAGCCAGATGACAGCTTATAGGAGCAAGTCATTTATTGCCACTCTATGTCCTCAATTGACAAGGCTTATCAAGTTGGAACATACTTAATGGCTTTCTGCAAATGGAACGGCAAGATGCAATATATTACAATTTAGAGTATATTCTACACACAAGTGTAGGAAACATCTTGGGGTTCAATACAATTCGAGTAAGAGACAATGGATGTTAAAGGTATACAATACAGGGTTTATTTTTCATGCCAGCTGCATCTGTAAGCATCCAGTTCACATTTTTTCCTACAGCTTTACATATTTGCGAGACGCTGGCTTGGTGGCAAATGCTTTGTACACATCGTTTTTGTCGGTCTTCATGAAGGCAAAATTCACGAGCAGCGGCTTCATAAATCTCGCGGCCACCAGTTCGCACAATCTCTTCCTGTGATCGGTGTCTTCACTTCTTTCGCATCTCAGAAGTGGCGACGAGGAGATGGCTGGCACAGCAACTTCAAGAAGCGGTGAATGACCATCAAGGGCTCGTGGACGTAAACCCAACTAAGAAATGACTCAACTGCACAAGTAAAGTGTTGTAGGAACAAGGGGAACCTTGCAAATGTTCACCCGCAGCTCCGAGTTCACAGCGCCGAACGGTGTGTTGCTTCGGCGGCTGAATCCCCACCGTCCTCACTTCGCGGCGCCCTCTTGCGTTGGGCAAAGCAAAGAGAGAGAGGGGGAGGATAGAATAAGGGAGGAGGAAAGCCGATGACGACGACGGCCCTCCGGGAGAGATTTGAAGGAAGCGGAATCGTCCAAACGCCTGTTCTTTACAAAAGATGAACGAGTGGACATGTAAACATTCTTCCATTCAGCGTTCACTGTCAAAACAAAAAATGAGGCAGCTCACACTTTCGGATGTTTCATTCAAAAAGGGTAAATGAGAGGCATGGACTGCTTCAGTGCCGCGAACTATGAGTAACTAGCAACTAAACATAAACTGCATGAATCGTTGGTCGTAGACACGCACTATCGAGTTCTAATTAAACGTTATCGGCAAAGCACATGTCTTTAGATACAAGCTGCGACAAATGAGGGTCGCCTTTGAAATCGATCATGAAAAATTGTGAGGACAAAATCTGAGATGTGATGCGAGTGGCCAAATTGTGCAACCGAATTTGGTGTGACCTAATACCCTCCATTTTTTTTAGGATATGCAGAGCGTCGGGGCCTGTGCAGTGAGGGAAGCCGCGTTGCACTTGTGGAGGATGCACCACACAGTTACTCTCTAACTCGAATTATAACACATGAGCTGGGGCATACGTAAGTACAAAAAAGTATGTTAACTACTAAACACCGCGTCCGTGCTCGCTTCTTGTGCTAACAGGTTTCATTACTCTCGGCGCCGTAGTACATCTCCTACAGCTTGAATGTTTGGATAAGAACGAATAATCGCATAGGTTCGTACAACGAATTGTGTGCACTGAAACCTGCATGTACTTTGACAATTGCGACACCTGGGCTTACGCATTCGCTAAAACGTAATGGTTAAATGATTAAAGTATTAAACGTCTAAATTCTACATCATTGTTGTATCATCAAATGTTTAGTAAATTCAATTCTCTTTCTCTTTATCTTTTTCTTATCAAGCAAGAACTCATTACGTCTCGTAGATTGCATGAATATTTCAAATACTTGCAGGCTTGGTGCTACTCATGACGGGGTTGAGCACAACGATTGCAGCCTGCATGATGGATACATTATGGCGCCCTTTACTCACGGAAGCAACAATGGCCACTTTTCTGACTGCTCTATTAAAGAGATTCAAGAATTTGTCAAGTAAGAAACGCTTTTCATTGTTTATTAGACACGTTCGCTAGGCACCTCGGCAACGTGAGGTCCACAGTGTTAAGAGCAACTAAAGTTTCACACAGCCTTTTCAGTTTCATTGGATGGTAATCTCGTAATTTTGGGGGATAGTGTGTTTTTACGTAGCACATTGGGTAGTTTACTCAAAAATAAGAAAGAAACCGTGAGAGCGCGGAAAAACTATTTGCTGAATACAATCAAGCACATCTGAACTTCCAATATATGTTAGACGTATGGAGAGGCCCTCAATATCTGAGAAGATGAAGACAATGTCCCAGCTCACGTTGCAAAGGTGATAATAAAAACCGAAGTAGTTCTCCTAATGAGTTGTTCTCAGTAAATAAAAGTGCCTAATGTTTAAAACCAAAGTTACGAGAGTGATGGAATGGGTGAATGAAACATTATTTTAATTGAACGAAACGAAAGGATATGTATGAACAGCCTTGAACATGATTGCCGATTACTGTGTCATGTATACATCCAGTGCGTTTCTAGCCTTATTTGTGTTATAATGAGCTGACAGCCCCATTATTGTTTACAAACACATTCATTTCTTAGTCTAGGAAAGGCCGCAATTTGTGCTGCGTGAATGATATTTTAATTATACTTAGCTCCGTAAAACTTCTCTAAAAAAAGGTCAACAATTACCTCGTTCTTGAAAGGTAATACCCCTTATTTGTGCAATTATCTTTTCCCACGAGAACTCGTGCGTCTGGATTTGAACGTAAATATTAATTTACAATTATAAATACCAGCAAACAAACAACACAAATAACGCTAATATTTACACATGGTATCAATGTAAGTCAAATATCATTGGATGGAAAACACCACGAAAGCCTAATTTGACTGTAACAATACTAAATCTTAAGGACAAGAGGAAGACGTGATACTTGTTTTGGAGTGTTTAAATTTAGGTTACCTTGCTTAGATAGCGGAGTACCACTTGTGTTTTGCGAGTAACCTAGACAACTACATCCGAACACGCAATATTCAACTCCCGCTAGGCTATAATTTTATGAATGGAAAGTGACACATATTTGAAAATACCAGTATGTATAACTGTCTATAAGCCACAGAGCCATATCCATTCGTAAAGTTTAATTCTTCACTGTGCTCTTCCACAATATAAAAGCAGAGCTGCGCAGCAGTTTATTACTCCTCACACTTAACATTACATAATGTGAAAATAAAATACACTTGGTGACTGCCGTCCAACATTCCTCATTCTAGTGTCCCCAATTCAAATACAATAATTTTATTTAGTAAGCACAATAATTTGTAGACTCGAGTGAATAAAAATAGTCATATTGACCCAAAAGAAATATCTACAGATATCTCAAGACACTGTTTACACCGAGTGAAAGAATATGTTGTATTTTACTCACATTTTTAATATATTTTATAAGTTTTATATCACCTTAATTATTGTGAAGTGTCCAAACGACACGTTTTGTCCTGTCTGAGATTGGTTTTGGAGTATGTAACAAAAAAGATGTATCATATCTTGTGATCAAGTCAATCGGTGTGTAGGAGTAATGAGAGTAGAGAGGCATGTTTTAGTTGATATTGTAGCGTTGCGGCTATATAAATGTTTAATACATCATTTTAAAATACTCCAGTTAGAACCACCAGCCCCGACGAGATCGGTGCCTGAAATCTTCTGTCTCGAGATCTGCCCTTCTTATTCGTCCGCTTCGGTCTGGCCGTTCACTGGAATAATCCCCGCCTAGCGAGGAACCGGAGCGACCAAGCGGTCGTCTTTCTTTTCAGACGGTTAAAGCGGGGTGGGCTTGTTAGCGGTTTCCGTAAAATGACTCTCGGTTCTTCCACTTGAGATTTTATGAGTTGGATAGCAAAAGTTCCATTGTTGGAATCCAAGCAGGCGGGCTTGACGCAGTCGATGGACACAGCTTTTGTTTTTCATTAGCACAGTGAAGGTTTTGGTGTCACGACAAACCACCGGAAAAGGGCCATTGTAAGGAGGTTGGAGAGGCGCTTTGACACCGTCGTGCCGAATGAGCACATGTGTACACTTTACCAGATGAGGGCTGACGAAGGTACTCCGTGTGCAGGGGATTTTGGTAATAACGGGGCGTAGGTCTTGCATTAGGAGCCGCAATCGGTGAGCGTAGTCCTCGGCGCTGTCAATTGGGGGATTGAAGGCTTGTTGAAAAAATTCTACTGGTATTCGGAGAGACGTTCGATAGACCAGCTCGGCTGCACTGCAGTTCAAGTCAGTTTTAAACGCTGTGCGGATGCCGAGCATTGTCAAAGGCAGGGTTTCTGTCCATGATGCAGTCTTGTCCCGTGTTTTGACGACAGCTTTCAATTGCCGCTGAAAGTTTTGTGCGCCCATTAAGTGAGAGAGGTTTTTATACAATGAAGATTCAAATGGTCATCCGCGGTCCGTGGTGATGGTTTGCGGCACCCCGCAACGACTCACCCACATGTCGACGAGCGCCTCAGCGACCGTCAGTGCAGTTACATTTTTCAAAGGGGCGACCTCCGGCCATCGCGTAAACCTGTCGACACATGTCAGGAGGTATCGGTAATCGTGCGATGGAGGAAGTGGGCCCACAATGTCGACATGAATGTGAGCAAAAGGAGCGTCAGGTGGGTCGAAGGAGGTCAAGTGGGTTACCGTGAGACGTTGAATCTTGGAGCGTTGATAGTAAATGCATGCACTTGCCCATTCGCGCACGTCAGTGTTCATACGCGGCCACACGAACCGGCAGCTGACGAGTCGTTGGGTGGCTCGTATGCCAGGGTGGGCCAGTGAGTGGATGGCATCAAAAACCTTATGCCAAAACGAGAAAGGAACGAACGGGTGGGGTTGATCAGTTGACACGTCACATCCCACGGTGTCAGAAGAACCATGCCTGGGGACATCCTCAAAAACAAGTGTCTTAGATGATGTCCGTAAGCGTTGGAGCTCCGCATCGTCTTTTTGGCACTCTATCAATTCGGTATAGTCCAACGAAGCACCTTCGAAGGAGGAAAGGTTGACGCCTACACTCTAAAGAGAAGGGTTTCACCTTACACCCTTTTGTCCCGTATATATGCACCCCAAAACTCCAGTTGGACGTACAGCGCACTATAGTCGAACAGACGGCCCCAAGTCTTACCAGGGGCTTGATAACGGTGCGATATAACTTATTAAATAACTAAAGTACGTATCTAATACCACAGAAAGAAAACACTGAGGTTCTTCAGTAGGGCCAAGAAAACACCTCTTTTTTTTTTTGTAGTCAGTAACACGTACATTAACTATTTTTTTAATAAGTTGCACCCCACGGCTATCAAGCCTCTCGGAAACGTTAGTAGCGTCAGATCGACGTCAGTGCGCTGTACGTCGAACTGAAGTTTTGGGGTGTATTATATAGGACAAAGGATGTATAAAAATACACTTTTTTTTTTTTTTTTTTTAAAGGGAGAGAGCGTCTGCTGCAGCATTATCGGAGCCTTTAACAAAACAAATGTCGGTGGTAAATTCGGATATGTAGAGCATTTGCCGGACCTCTCGTGGTGTGTGTGCCGCGCTGGACGATGACAAGACGTACGTGAGCGGTTTGTGGTCCATAAGTACAAAAAACTAAGTAGTCCAGAGGCCTTTAGAGAAGAATGCGATTGGATGCCATGGGGGGGGGTCCCCAAAAAGCTGCTGCAGGACAGCGCCAACTGCCTTGTCCGACGCGACGACAATGAAGAAGGTAGGAGCGTCACTTCTTGGATGCATTAGCATGGTAACGGTCGTGCGGCGCCGTCTGCTGCGTGCGTCCATTGTAGCGGTGTCATTTTTGGTTTCGGGTTCTGCAGCAGATCGTACAAAGGCTGGGAAATATGAGAGCAGCGGGTAATAAACCGACGGTAAAAGTTGGCCAGTCTCAAAACTCTCGTAGCTTTGTAGCCATTGTGGGCCGTGGAAAGTTGCAAATAACGGTCACTTTGTCAGGCAGCGGTTGGATTCCGCGAGCATCTACGTGATGGCCGAGAAAATCCAGTTCCTTGACTCCGAATTCGCACTTCGCGGCATTTGCAACGAGGCCGTGCGACGTCCGGTACGTAAAAGCTGTCGATGGGGACTCGCATGTTCATGAGGCGTCGAGCTGAACACCAGGATATCGTCCATATACGCGAAGCAGAAGGACAGTCCACAAAGGACTTGATCTACAAACTTTTGCAATGTTTGAGCTGCGTTGCGGAGGCCGAACGGCATCCGCAAGGATTTATACAGCCCAAATGGCGCTGTGACTGCACCCGCCGAAATCTTGTAGATGGGGTATGGGATAACGGTCAGGTATCGTGGACTGGTTGAGTGCTCGATAATCACCGAATGCCGCCAGTCTCCTGTCTTCTTTGGCAACATGTGAAGCGCTGACGACCAGGGACTCGAAGACGGGCGTACACAGCCTAGTTCAAGCAGATGTTCGAATTCATATTTGGCTATCTGAAGTGTGTCTGGTGGCAGGCGTCGTGGACGTGCGACGACAGGGGTGCCTGTAGTCATAATATGATGGGTGATACTGTGCTGGATTTTGTGGAATGGCGCGTGACCGAGGGGAACTCGTCCGTGATGCGCTTCCACTGGGAGTCCATCTTCACTCGTGGGAGAAAAAGACGCAGTGGCGGTGTCTGATATCAACACTTGGACACGGAGCTGCGTCTCGGTATCAATGAGCTAGTATTGGCGCAGGTCGACAGTGACCCCGAATCGTCTTAGAAAATTCGCCCCGATGATGGCTTATCGCACGTCAGCGATGATAAAGATCCAGCGAAATGTCCGCCGGAGCCCGATGTCTACGGTCAACGACTTTTCTCCATACGCTTTTATTCTGGCTCCGTTGACCACTTGCAGAGGAGGCGTTTCTTCGCGATATTTACGATCTTTCGGTGTAGGGGGTACTACGCTAACCTCGGCACCGGTATCTACTAGGTACCGAACCTTGGTTGAGCGATCGGTCACGTAGAAAAGACGACTGGATGACGAAGGGCCCTGGACGTCTTCCGCCTTCAGTGAGTCCCCCTGCCGTTTCCCGATACCGAGCATGGTTGTCTGCAAAATCGGGCGGCGTTCCCATAACGACTATGGTACCAGCACTGACGTTGGTTAATAGAGGTGCCAGGCGAGCGAGGTAGTGTCCTCCGACCGTAGCGTCCCTCTTCGAGAGTGGCGCCGCATGTTTTGAAACTCGCGACTGAGGTCGTCAATTTTCTTTTCCATACGTGCGTAGGCCGCGACCAAGTCAGGACTTTCACGCTGGTAGTCGTCGAGAGCAGGTAGATGGGACTTGGGCTGAGCCGTTTCGTGGTGAAGCGACGAAATGTCAGGCGAGTAGACGTTCATTATATCGTCCACTTTGAGGGCCGGCGTCAGAATGGAGTCCGTAGTTTCCGTGGTTAGGACCATCCGGACTTGCTGAGGAAGACGTTCACGCATGATGGACGCATCCATCGTCGCTGCCTTGCCTTCAAGGAGTTGCTCCATTTGTCGGAGGAGTTGCGTGGGTTTTCTGTCGCCCAACTGTTCTGCTGTCAGCAGCTGCTCAAGACGTCGGGGTTCAGATTCTGTTTATGCCGTATCAGTTCAGTGCGTAAAGTCTCGTAAGGTTGGCTCTCTGGTGGGGACCGTAAGATGTCGCCGACTGCGGCCGCCGTCGACTGCGAAAGAGCAGTGACTATACGTAGTCGATCTTCGTAAGTGACGCTGTGACTCGATGCTTCCAGAAGACGGATTCGACGGTGAGGAAACAGAGCTCAGAATTTGAGGACCAAAACTCTGGAATCTTAATCGGGGCCGTGGTGGCTTCTACCTTGGGTATGGCCGAGGAATTCGCGTCGCCTTGAACATCCATTGTTAAAAAAAAAAGGCGGTGGCATGTGCAGCTCACCTCAAACCCAGGGTAAGGAAGGTTGTCGATGTTACTTGTTTCGGGTCACCAATATGTCGCTTTGAGTCTACATAAATATTTAATACATTATATTAAGATACTCCAGTTAAAACCACCAGCCCTGACGAGATCGGTTCCCGAAATATTCTGTCTCGAGATCTGCCCTTCTTCTTCGTCCGCTTAGGTCTGGCCGTTTAATACAATATGTATTATTTATATGATAGCCTCCGCACGCCTGTCCACGCTTAATGGCAAATCAACCCCCAACTCATTACAAAAAAATTACGTTTCTTATAAAGCCGAGGTATAAATTAAAGTACAAATATTTTGAAAGCTCATGATTGTTATGGCACCTTTCTTTATGTGATACACTTTTACTTCAGGACGATAAAAGAAGATTGCAGAGAGGTTAAATCAAGGAACACACTTAACAAGAATGGAACACCAGTGCTACCGGGGGTGGTTATGAATTTAACTCGATATTGCGAACTCAAGCATCCAAGTTTTTGTGACATCACCGTAAACCAGGTATGATTTACCATAACAGAAACATTTCGCAAAACATTATTTGAAATACTGTAGTTAAGACGATACTGTGTGTTCGATCTCAATTAGAACCAATTTATTGAAAACAATCCGCGAAAGGTGCCCTAACCCGGTTTATGCAGGTGAGTTAAATATGGCCAGGGGGACATAATAAAGAGGGCTAACAGTCACAATAAAGCAAATTATTAACTAATATTTCCGAATAACCTTTTAATTAGTAAAAATAAACATTCGATTCCAGTGAAACTTGCTGAGCTTCGATAAAGCCCCTATATTAGTCAATTTTAGACGGACTTGAAGCACGTGGGAAGTGCGGTAGTGCATTAAAGTTTCCACTCGTTCAGCAGGCACAAGGCTTGCTGTGGAAAAATGCGGGCGATAAGATTACCGCCAGCGTTTTTACACCGCTAGCCTTTTGCCGGCTGCAGGAGGGGTTATTTTAGAGCACTACCTCGGTTCCCCCGTGCTTTAAAATTTATTTTCTCAAAATTGATTGATATTTGGGCTTTTGATGAAGCTCAGCAAGTTTCTAATAGGAACCACGTGTTTATTTTCAGTACTTAAAAAATTTGAGAAAAAAAATCTTTGTCAAATACTTTGTTATTGGGAGAATGAGCCCCCTATACTCGTCCCGCTGACCTCATAACTAACCTGCACGGAGCCCGTTATTACAGTTTTCACGGCTTTTTTAAAGAATGTGTGCGAATTAAAATCAAACTCCCTGTATATGTCCACAACACAAGAAAAATTAATAATTGTTAAGGAAACTTAATATTTCTTAGCTTTATTTTAGTACTTAGTCTAATTGAATAAATACTGAACGAAGAAGACATTCACGTGGTGCTAAAAGCAAATAAACAAATAACGTACTGAAAAAGAAAGCATAGATAACTATATTAGGTAACGCAGACAAAAGGTGTGTGAGAAGACTTCGTTGTCAGTTGTTTGTTTCTCTAAAACTTTTATATAGAAATTAAACGCTAAATGTTTCATTGCTTTTATATGGTTCGATTTCCACCTCGGCTATGTACTTTCAAGAATTTGATTTGCTATGTAAGGGACGACACAAAACCCGTTCAACAGTATAGCCATACTTTTTTTTGTATTGACGAAAGCTTCGTGTCATTAGGAGAAAATTGCCGAAAACCATGAGCGTTCTCTTTAATTGCTTATCATTCTGCTCTTGTTGGCACAGAGATTATTCTTATCATAATAAGTCAGGCGTCAAATCCCTAGCATTTTACGATTAGTAGAATTCAATGGTAGGTTGTTTTTTTTATTATTAGGATAGGTTTTTCAAAGGCGATAAAGGCAACATGTGAACTCAATGAACGTGTTTCATGAATTATTTATTGCCAATTTTGTCTTTCTCGCATTGACCATTTATGCATTTATATCACTCCTTCTCTTGTTCTAAATCAAAACTAAAAATTAATAATTCAAACATCGTATTTAGCAATTAGAAGGGTAAACGCAAGGTGACAAAACACTTAGTGTGCCGGCGCAAGTGTATTAGGTGATTTACTGCACATCTGAATAAATAAATAAAAATCATTACTCAACCACTGTTTGCTGCGATAAGATATTCAAGAACATTTTAAAAGAAATATCTTTCCTTTAAACGCAATAAATGATGGAATCGTAAACTCGTGCACTGGATGCATCATTTTGTAACATCAGATTTCAATTTTTAAACAGGACAAAATAAAAGAGTGCCGATTTCAATGCTGCTTTGGCGGCAGGGTCAAATGTATGAAAAACAAGCCTGCAGATCCAACGTCCTGCAATAATCAATGGGTAAGTGCGGAATACGCTCTAATCAGGAACATTTCTAGATATCTTTAGGCGAAACAAACAGTTGTGAAAGCTTGTGAGTCATGTTTTTCGCACGAATACCTTTAACCGAGTTGGTGTTCACACAGTCGGTAAATCGATGACAAAGCATCTCATGGTTATAATTTAATATGCTAACCAATGTACATTATACGCAAGCCCCCGCTCATTTTTAACTGCACGCCCTAACTGTTACTATAAATTAACTATAATAAATCGAGTATAGCATTAACCTCTACTCGAGACCCGAAAACGTGTCACCAATGTTTGGAAAGCCATGTGTCCAGGTTGGCAACGCTGGAGCCTCTGCTTTTACCAGCATCAGCTTGTAGGATAGGGCATATGTTATGTAGCGTGCGCTTTCGCGACACGTTCACGGAGGCACGGACGGGTGAGCGGAGCGAAGAGTTCAAGCGACTCAATGGCATCTACGTAACCGCCCATTCGTCGGCACGTAGGTGTTGTGTCTCATCCGTATGTTGGTTTTAAAGCACAGCTCTCAAGGTCCATACGCACATTCGCGTTTGAACGCGTTTGAGTGCGTTGCGGAGTCCTTGCGGCCAGGCGCGGTCGCTTGCGGAGCGACGCGCGCCTCCCCGCAACGCTCGGTAGCGCGACGCAAGCGAGTAGAGACTCGTTCAACTTTCCGAAGCGTTGCGGTGCGTTCGGGTGCGTTCGACCAATCAGAAGCCGAAAGAGGAGAGCGGGTGACGTGTTCGCTCGCCCCACCCGGCCGACTCGGCGAGACGTATCCGGTTCGCCGGTCGCAGAGCTTGCTTTTTCGTTTTGGGGAGCGGTGGGGACTGTATTTTCCAAGGCTGCGATGGTTCAAGCTTGACAAAACGTCGGGGAAGCCGGCGAAATTGTCCCAAGATCGAACACTTCGACGCTGTCGCTGTGCGCCGCCATGTTGCCTTGGATTTCGCTTACTATTGGTGAGCCACTAGCGACGATAGCGCGTTCTTATTGGCTCTTGACTCCGGTTGACTGCGTGTCAACGCAACTGTGCGTACAAGTTTGGCGCAAGCGGTCTTCGTAACGCAACGCGTCCGCTTGCCGCTACGGAACGCACCGCGCTCAAACGCGAATGTGCGTATGGACCTTTAGGGGCCCGTTCCCGGCATGAGCGGCGTCAGCGTAACCAAGGTCACCCCAAGGTCACGCGGCCCCCAAGGTCATCCCAAGGTCACGTGACCCTCAAGGTCAACCCAAGGTCACGTGACACACAAAGTCACGTGACCCCGAGGTCACGTGACCCCCTACCCCCCGACGTCACGTGACACTCCCCGAGGTCACGTGACCACCCCCAGGGTCACGTGACCCCCCCCCCCCCCCCGAGGTCACGTGACCCCCCCCCCCCCGAGGTCACGTGACCTCCCCGATGACGTCATCGTCACTGATGACGTCACCGGCATCCGCATCGTCATCATCACTGATTACCTCACCAGCATCCGCATCGTCATCATCACTGATGACGTCATCAGTGACGTCACTGATGACGTCACCGGCATCCGCATCGTCATCATCACGGATGACGTCATCAGTGACGTCACTGATGACGTCACCGACATCCGCATCGTCATCATCGCTGATGACGTCATCGGAGTCCGCATCGTCATCGTCACTGATGACGTCATCAGTGACGTCACTGACGACATCATCGGCATCGTCACGTGACCCCCCCAGGTCATTCCACCCCCCCAGCACCCCACCCTCCTCCTCCTCAAGAGCTGCGCTCTAATTCGGTGTTACAGGGAGTTGTAAACGGCTTTCACATTTTTTAGAGTGATAACTGCTATTGACTCTTCCTATTACTGGAAATGACGTCCGTTGTTGATGTTCTGGTTGTTGATGTGTTATTTGTTGTCGTTGTTGGCGAAGCAGGACGTCCGTCGACGGTGTTGTCATATCATTTAAAGAGATCGCCCGCCGCCCGCTGGAGTCTAACTTGGGTCCGCTGCATGCCAAGCGGAGGTGTTAAGGCTGAGCTACGCCCCAGCATTAACAACCTACTTTATTATTAGTGTTTCGGTAGACCCCAGGACCACTGCATGCGCTCTCTGGAAAAGTTTTAAAATACAGCCGATAACAAAATGCCGTCGTTGTACTGTCAATACCGGGAGCTCGAACTGGTAGACGCGCTTTCACGCGCTCCGAAAAAAAAAAAAAAAAAAAAGAAGAAACAAAATCATTCGTAACATAATGGTCAGATGACGATTTTGTTCCCAACGTTTTTGTTTACGCACCCTAGGGTACGTAAACGCGGAACCGATGCCCAACGGCTTCGCCGTGACGTGTCACAGCAGTCGCTGTGACAGTACTGTGGATTAACACGGGACTGCTCAATTTTCTAATTCCTGATACCATTTTTATACTCATAAATTCAAAGTACAGAAGTATGAAATTAGCTTTGCTTCTCCTTTCTAAACATCTGTTCTTTTTTCTTTCACTCTCAATCTCTAGCATGTTGCATGCAAAAAAGTGTCTTAAAACTGACCCAGACTCGCATGAAGGTCGCGCTAGGGTGCCTCCACGCCAGCGCCTTGTTCAGGGCGGAGACCACCGTCCGTGTTGTTCAATGATTGTCTCCACCTTCGAAACGGGATCGGTATCTAGGCACCATTGTATCGCTAGATTTTGGTACGTTTCTTTCCCTTGCACTCTTGTGCGCCGGAATGGAGCTTTTTCCAGTATGCATCTGCGCACGCGCACACCCTTTCCACTTGACCTTGACCACCCTTTCGCCATTTTTGGGGGGCACTGTTTTCTTGCGACACTAACCTGTTCCTATGGGAGAAGGCGAGTCCGGTTGCCCTCCATTTGTAGTAGGCGGCGAAACCGTCATGGGGCACTCCTTACTGGAAAAAGGTCCATTCTCCGCCTCCTACACGAGCTTGTTGCAATCTTTCGCCGTGCTTTGGATCTGCTGCGTGCTCATGAGACACATGTGTAATCAAACATAGAAATCTAGCGCTAGAGACAGAGCTTCTAGAAGCAGTCTAAAGCGCCGTTCACACATATGCCTGAGTAAGACCGACAGAGACCAGACCGGTTTTTAAGCCTTCTGCGATGTCTTAGGACCAGCTCCGCTGCAGCACATCCGGTCCTAAGACGTCGCAACAGGTTTAAAAGCCGGTCTGGTCTCTCTCGGTCTTACTCGGTTGCAAGAGTGTGAACCATGGCCGCTAGATTTCTGAACCAAGCTCAAGCCGAGTACGGATTACGGCCACCTGTATACGTACAGAGCTTGACGTGTTATGTTGACCTATCTTGTTGTTTTTAAACATGTTATACCTGAATTAAGTAAATTCATTTTAATTTTTTATAAACGCGGACTAACTTACAACTTTGATTTACAATTTAAATTGTAGCGAAGTTTCCACTGAAAGTGACGCCTCCTCAATTACAACTGCTTTTTTTAAAAAAATCTCCAGGGAATTTAGCTTTTTTTTATATTATTCGAGATTCTAGGATGCGTACGGAAATACAGACGTTGAAAACTTGCTGAATGTATGCTTGATTTTGAAGCGCACTTGTACTTTTCGAATACCAGGACATTAATATGGATCCACTCTGCTCAGTCAAATGCTGCTCTCTGTTTGCCTCTGACGCGACGCACAAATGTTTTGAAGAAATCGCTGTCGATGGAACGCCATGCGACGACAAAAAGGTAAGCGCCGTCCATGCTGTGGTCACCTCGGGTGGTACAGGATGTTTCATGGAACACTGTCGATATTGCTCTTGGGAAAGGCACGCATCACGCAGATCAAAAGGTTGATGTTATGTTGATAATTGTCAAAATGTTTATTTATGGAAATTAATAAAATTCGGTACAAATCGTTTCTCAGTTAAGCTTGAGCAGTTAAAGCTTAATATGCTATTCCAAAACCAAAGGTATTGTTTAAATTAGAAATTTCGTGGGCCCCATCGAAAACACTAGATCAAATCACTTTACGGAACCATAAAGCACGTGCCACATTTTACAGCATAATAAAGGTTAAATTTAAACATGTTTTTCAGTTTTGGTTTTTTACCGGAGTGATTGTCAGCGCAAGTCGTCCTGTTTCTTGTCACCAGGGCGCACCTTTACCGTTTTGCTTCCTAGCAGGAAAAAAAAGGAAGTGAGACGCGAGCCGGCGATATAGAATATGGTGCAGCTCGAATGGCGTTGCAAGAGTCATTGCTACGACTCTTGGACCATGCGAAGAAAGCGTGGTGGAACACGTTAATCGCGCGCTTTGGCCCAGAGGAGCAGGGCCAATAGCGCAGATATGTGGTCCGATTGGAGACCCTCATCCATAAACTCTTATAAATTTAGTTTTGTTTTTCTTTGTTGGCAGTACAGGGTCAATTGTTGCGCTTGAATTCAATTTTAGTAACGGCCACCGCGGTTTTCAAGATGCGAAACTATTTTGTGATTGAAACCAACCCCTTAGAATTGATAATTAAAAATTTAATTACTCAAAGGCTCTTTCACACAAGACACACAATAGAAGTATTTAAGGCAATTATCTAAAGACGTCTTTCAAAGAGTATTTAGAATACTAGTTAAGTTACTTTCCATCTTAAATATTTTGAGTAAAGTACAAATAGTTTGTAATGTTATGTATTCAAAAGAGAGAATAAGCTAAAAAAAGAAAAAAAAAAAAAAAACTCTGCACGCATGCAAAAAAAAAAAAAGTCTTTTTAGCGCGTTGTTACAAGGCGGAAGTGAAGAGATGAGAAAGAAAGAGAAACTTTCGCGATACAATTAACGCATCACGGAAGTTCGTTGCAAATGTTTTTTTGCTATATTCGAACTACCTGCTATATCGAACTGATCGTAGCGTTTCCTTCTGTTCGTTATAAACGGGTTTGACTGTATAAATTCATGCAAACAAAACTATAAGTGAAAGATGATGAATATATACTTTATACTAGATATAAAACGATGTTGAATAATACAGAATATTAAACACTTTAGATAAGTGTACTCTTGAAAACAGTCCATCAAAAAGCGCAACAAAACAATTGTTCAAAATGCAATTCTACGAACGCAATACATAAAAAAATAATATAAAAAATACAAGAAAAACACAAGAAACTACAAAAACATCAAACGTTCATTTACTTGTTTCCTCGCGTAGAGACCTTCCCGAAAGAGCAATTTGATCAGCGTTTTGTAAAACGCTGATCAAATTGTATATAGCTTTAGGCCAAATATTTTTTTGTGAATTGATTGTCAATTATGTCAGAAGACAACAGAACGTATTTTTACCATTGCGTTAAAACAATTGAGACTGGGTCTGCAAACACTTGAAACATCCAAAAGTAGAAGATGCAGAGAAAGAAGTCAATCAGACGACGTCTCAAGCTCAGCTAATACGTTTATTCAGTAATCCTCTTATACGCAATTTAAAGCCAAGCTCGTCACCATTTTATTTTCTTTGTTTGTTGTTTTGGCTGGTGACGACCTTGGTTTCAAAAGATATATGAGAGATTTATCGAATAAATGTATTAGCTAAGTTCGAAACGTCGTCAGACTGACTTCTTTCCGTGTCTCTTCTACTTTTGGTTGTTTCAAGTTTTTTCACACCCACTCTCAGGTGTTTTAACAAAATAGTAAACTTACACCAGCTTGCCTGCGCCCTCACTGTGTGAACAGGACGTAATTATTCCTTTTTCTGTTTGGGTAACGGTACGGTACGGTAACGGTAGGTTTAATTTAACCGTTACAGAACGCGTTTCATGAGTTTTTTATGTTAAAGACCATGAACGTTTTCATGGGTATATAAACATCTAATTGCATATTAAAGTGACGTTCACATTGCTCCTAACATGCTTTCTTACCTCGAAATCCTACTTGGTAGGAAAATGTAGATATATTGAAAATTTATGATTAAAACGAGCGATCGGTTTCTGTATAGCCGGCTCATTCCTCTGATGTTAATGACAACCACTGGCCCGTCTACGCACTGATCAGAGCACGTGCTGTGTTCTAGACATTTTGACATTTCGGTGATTCCCCTCAAAGTAACAATTGTAGTACTTGTACCAATTTCCTTGAAAATATGATTGACTACAATTGGAAGTTACTCGGACTTAAATGTTAATTAAATGTTAATAATTTGGCTGCCAATTACTTTCGTAAAAAATATTATATTACTTTTTTCGATACCATGACAAAATGCTTTATGAGGGGGAGGGGGGAGAGGAGGTCCCAGCAAAATGAAAGATTTCGCCCCCCCCCCCCCCCCCCCCGAAATCTTCCATTTTGCTGGGACCCCCCCTCCCTCCTGGCTACCTGCCTGAACCGCATGCAAATCAAGACTTTGCAACACCACAAAGACCCGCTGGACGGTGTTGGAGGTGGGAAGGCACAAAAACGTGTTAAACTCTCAGTGTTATATAGTGTACGCACATACACTTGTTTCTGCCGGCATAATAGCAAGATATCCAGCTTGCCTTTGTTGTGTATATGCAACATCTTAAATGAGACGCGTGCCTAAATGACGTTCAAAACCTCATTACATTGCCATCGGGCGTGTCACGTCCGAGAGGACCAACTGTCGAGCCAGTCAAGCGTACAAAACGCTCAGAGTCATTTCCAGTGCCAGGTAGGACCGAAACATTTTAGGAATGCAATACAGCGACACGTTACTTTGTCAAAACCGCAAGAAACTAAACAGAATGAAATCGCAAAGCGGCTACCGCAGCGACGGTTGCATTGACGGTTGCATTGATGTCTAAGCTATAAAGCAACTATTTTGGAGCTGTACAGTCACTGCCTATATTAAAAGAGAAAATTTTATTCTTGAGAACATTACATTATTATTCTAACTTTTTTTGACAACAGCCTTGACATATAAGGGGGTTAGAGAAAATAGAAAAAAAAAAACATGATTTTGCCGGAGCCACAGTTGTAGACAAATATGCCGGAGTAAAATTATAGTGGTACTAAATACTCGTAAATTTTTAGATTGCCCCTTTTTGGAATTTTTATGCTAAAAGTATATCTGTTCATTTTATATAAAAATATATATTTTTAAAGTAAAAGGTAAACTTAAGTGTGTGTGTGTTTAATATGCTTCAAAAAGTGACATTTTGACGTAATATTTACTTGCTTAAATACAGATTCAAAGCTTGAAAACGAAAAACCCAGAATACAGTTTAATGAAAAAAAGGGCTATTCAGTTGCGTATTTTGGTGATTCCGCTTTCAGTAGCAACGAGCTCACTAACGATGGGTAAAGAGGAAGACACACAACCGCACAGTTATGCAATTAGAAAATAATTTGTTTTTGTAAAATATTTTGCTCACATCTAAAATAACTTTCTTTCCTTAGATGTGCTTCAGAAACAAGTGCGTTGATAACTATGACCTTTCTGAAACACCAGGGTTGTCCACAGCACCTGCAACGGAGGAAAGCTAAAGCAAAAACCGATAAAATACCGGTCGCAATAGCATGATAGCGAAAAGTTTTCATAAATTAGTTTATGAATAACAATTGAAATAGCACGCAAATTTGTGGCAAGATTACTCATGTAACACTTGAATATAATAAATCCCTAGTGACTCGTTTATTTGAAAATAAAGATTTAACTATTTGTATCTGGCTGTGTGCTCTATTTCTTTTTTTTTTTTACACACTCTTTTTTACGATGCACAGCATACGAACAAAGTGCTGATAAATAAGGGCGTTCACATTCGGAAGGGTATATTTTTGCAAACTGTGTGCATGTACGCGCTATCAGAAAAGACGTGTGTAAAGATAGTTATCGACATTCGCTACACCAAGATCTAGATAAGTAATGCTACAGTGCTAGGGTGACCATATTCCTCAAGGTACAAAACAGGACATCCCAGCTTGGGGGGGGGGGGGGGGGGGGGGGGGGGGGGGGGGGGGGGGGGGTTAGTAAAGATTGAGATTGGGAGAAAAGATTTAATGCAATAACTGCTCTTATTTGAAAACGTCACCATATGGCACTAAATTTCACTCTCTGCGTAATATCCCCTGCCTACGGTCACCAGGCTTCTCGGCGCCAGTATGCGGCTGCTCATTTCATTACAAGACTATTAACCCACTTGGCCCCACCGTACACGCCGCTTCGCGCCGTCCAGCCGGCAACCCAAGTTAACCCAAGTGTCCGGAGAGGGAGTCCCATAACATTTAGTTCAGCAAAGTTTCGTCGACAACATTCGTCTCTCTCTCGGTATTTTTTTTTTTTTAGGGCTGATTGTAAAAAGAAATGCAAATATCGCCAAATTCTCTAGAAAAATCTACAAGAAAAATAAAAAAACAAAAAAAAAACTAAGAACTTTCTGTGGATCGAACCTGGGTTCGCTGCTTATGAAGCAGGCACCTTTCCTAAACTACGCTGCTGTTTTTTGTTTTTTTTTAATTGCAAGGTGAATTTTGTTGCAATCATTTCCGGTCGAGGTGCACGGGCAAAGTACCTACGGTTATTATTGTAAAATATACTTGTAACGAGAACGCATAGTCTCGGTTTGCTTCAACTCGCTTGGTGCCAATTTCGAAACTATGCACTCCTGCCCTGCGAAAACGGGACACGATTCTTTATTGAGACAAAAAGACGAGACGGCAAAAGCGGACCTCAAAAACGGGATTGCCCGGACAGAACAATGCTGTATATATATATATATATATATATATATATATATATATATATATATATATATATATATATATATATATATATTTTTTTTTTTTTTTTTTTTTACCTCACGCTCAGCGTTTAGCGAAAGGTACGCAGTTTAAGCCTGTCAGCGTTGGCTGAAAGTTGTTTCTTCACCGATTGAACAGGAGTTCCGGCCGAACGGTGAATCTGTGCTCGGGCGGCACTTTCAAGGCTGGATTATTCTAAGGTTTCAAAATATAATTAACGTGGGGTCTTCTTGTGCTATATTTTTGTTTTATACCCCGGGGCAGTAAGTTGCAATGTGAACATATATCCGCAAGTGAGTATCGTCACCATTTGGATAATCTTACATTTATTTGTCTGTTAACTTAATCTGTGTTTAGGATTTTTTTTTGTTTGCTGGTTTTATTTTTTGTGTTGGTGCACCACGGGGCACCCAAATTGAAGATTGATGGCACCTAAAATAAAGATGATTATTATAAACCCGTTGCTGACCCTCCTAATTCGAGGGCCCCAAACGGCAGCCCTTTTTTCGCCAGCACTATCTACCATCGCTGACCACTCGTTTGCAGATATCTCTGGACTAGTCAAGCCTGTCAAATCGTTATTTGCAAAGAAAAGTGGTGTAACATATTTCCTCCTGTCCCTGCGGTACAAGGCAGCGCCTTTGCCTGATCGACGCCTACACGGAGTCGCAAATACTTCCCCAGAAAGCTCTTGTCTCCAGTATAATCAAGTATATAAAGAACATAACATTGCCACTCTTTCTGAGCATTTGTGCTACCCACTTATCTACACACTTCTTCAAGCATAAAAGCAGCAATATTGCAATATTAGTAAGTTAGCTATGAAAAAATTAAACACAGTTTGGTCACTCTGCATGGGACAGTCTGATCCATTCGACTTGTAGATTCAGTGTCCATCCGACCGATTCCAGAAAAGCAGACCATACCGAATTTCACCTGCAGAGTACAAAGTTATCTAATAGCATATCAACGAAATGTTGGTAAAAAAATATTCAGCCCATCTTCATCCCTTGACCATCCCCCATTGCCCTCGTATAAACAAATGGGGCTCAATGTTGCATGCTGCAAATGAAATGATTGGCAGTGGTCGTGAACTGACACACATATCGGCAGGGTGGAGGATAAAAATCAAGTTGATTTAAATCACAACTGAAAACATGATTTAGACCACAATTTTAATCATACATGGGTAAATTACTTCTAAAATGTAATTTAATTACAATTACTTTGCTCCAAAAGCAGTTTTATAGTTAAAATTACTGAGAAATAATTTATTGTAATTACAAGTTACCTTTAAAAACCAATGCAGTTACTTTACAATTACTTATTTCTGAAAGCAACCCTACTTCGGCCACATAACTTTAAACCAGTTGCTTAGAATGCAACGCACTTGTTCAATCCTTGCCTCAGTGTCTGAGAAGGCTTAAGCATCGCTGTATAAATGTCACGTATTGTACTTTCCTTTTATAAATTTTGTTAAATTAATAAAAGAACCTGACAGTTTAGGCAATGAAGTCCTAGGTTCTTATATTTTAAATAATATAAATCAGTTCATATACTCCAAGATGCCAGAACACTTCTGTTAGCCAGGCAAATAAGAATGGCAATTAGTGACATCTAAATATTTTAATAAAGTTAATACAAAAACTACAATCCCACACGCGCTAATACGGCCACATTCACATACAAACGTTTCCTGTTATTGTAAATTATTTACACCGAGTTGAAATTATAATGGCTCAGAAATATATAAGGACCGAATCGGGGCTCCCGAATCAAAGGTGACAATATTCACAGGTGCGCGGTCAGTCTCAAAAAAGCTTACGCAAACAGTATCCGAAGTAAAACCAACAGGAAATAAACTTTAAAATAATACAAACAAAACAAACATGTGACAGTCCTAGCTGGAAGAGGGATGTAAAAAACTGGCAAAAAATAAAAATAACTTTATATACAATTAAAATGTCCAACCTCGACTAAAAGCTGAAGCTCGATTGTTTTCTTTGAATATATTGGCACGTTTACGCAATTGCTTTCTGCTCGCGCCACAGACGGCGCCACACGGCGCCGTTCAGCTAGGCTCCAAAGAAGATTGCCTCAGCCCGCAGTGTAAGCAACAAAACAACACACAATGCACCGTTATTTTTATTGTACATGTGCGTGCATGTCTATCATGTATGTGAGTGTTACCTAGCACTAGGCCGCTTGTGCGAGCGCTGAAGCTTTCAGAAGGTTCCGTCGGCACCGGAAAGCCTTGCAAAAGTAATTGTATTTGTGCCTCAAAGTTTGTAATTACTGATGCTAGAAAGCAAATAAAGTACAATTTCAATTCCTTTTAGCAGAAAGTAATGAATTACAATTACAAATTACCAGAAAATTAAATTACAGTAATTCAATTACTGTAATTAAATTACTATCCAAGTATGATTTTAATCATACCGATTTTACCATATTTGAAATCAAATATTTTAATATAAGATGTCTGAAAAAATATTAATTTTACAACTGGGACCTCAACTATTTTACTGTTTTCAAACGCATTTATCTTTTCATTCCATGTAAAATAATTATAAAGGAATATTGATACGAGGATAACGAGCAAATATAAGACTTCTTCGAGGCACAAGTAAATTGTAGAATTGAACGCTCTCTCTACTTTTCAGCTCGTTCTTCAGGTATACCAAAACAAGGGAAAGGGTAGAGTCAAGAACAAAAAAACTGTGTGCATGAACAAGCATACAAACTCAAATACCAGCAGAGAGAGGCATAGAAACAGGAAGACAGACTAAAGTATATGTCTCTGGTTGATTTTGCATATTCTAGTGTATTTATTATTTTGTAGATAAGTTATATTTTTCTCAAAAAATTATTTTGATAAAACACTTTAAATCAAATATTTTTTCTTTTTTTTTAATTTTGCCAGTGAGAAAACTGTAATTTGGTTAATTATAGTCATGTTCAGTCAATCAATGCGGCCTATTGCCATAAGTGTCTTCGGAGGCTGAGATTTGAGTACGGATTTCTCGCAGTAGATGTAGATAATGAAGAAGTCTTTCTAGGCCGCTTTTCCGCAGTACACAACTTCGTAAGGTAAAGCGCACTCGCGTTTTTTTTTTTTTTTTTTTTGCTTTCCTGCAAAACATTGTGTTTCAGGGAGAAGCGCGCTTATGGAATGTTAGGTAGGAATGAACGTGTCTACTGCTTTCCCATCTTACTGCAAGGGACAAGTGCATTTGCTGGTTCTTTGCTTTCCCACAAAGAAAATACCTGCAGGATAAAGTGCACTTGTGAGTTACTTTGTTTGCCGCTTTCCCGCCGTACAGCAAATAAAAGGGGGAAACCCTCCTTCAAGGGTACAAGCTCTTTTCTGAGTTTCAAACTGTTCCACAAGGCACATTCTTGTAGGAAGAACCGCTTTTACGGGTTTTGCTATTCTGGATAGCGTGCGTTTTAAAGAGAAGCGCGCTTGTGTGCTTTTACTGCATAGATGTCATCGAAAATTTTTAAAATGTTAAGTTGCATTAGAAACAATGTACTAAAATAATGCTTTCTTTATATTGCTTACCTGTTTAATAGTTCCTACACTTGGAAGTTCATTTAATAATTAAGGTATCTCCACAATTCAGTACCATCTAACCTCTGAACAATAATCAAATTCAGGAAGTCATCTCCAGCTATCCCGTCACTCACCAGTTCAATCGATCATTCCCTTGCATAGACACATAGGCTACCCTAGCTCGCATAGGACTCCAGCTCGACTGATGCAGGCTTTGCCCTTTCATGCATAAATTTTTCTCAGAAATCATACAGAATTTAAGGTCGCATCAGCAAATTTTAATGAGAAGGAGATGGGGGTCTATGTGTGAAATATGATTAATAAATGAACGATTGTGCAGGGAAGGTAAAAAGAAAGGATCTACCGATCTATGGGGGGATAGAGGTAAAAGAGATGGAAGAATAAGCAGAGAAATTAGACAAAATATTTAGTGCAGAAATATAAGTGTGTACCTAAGATTATGTAGAGTGAAGAGACGGGAGTATAGCAAAGTAACATAGTCTAGCCGTGGGTCTCATGATCAGGATTTTGTCTAGGAGACAAAAGGGAACGTAAAATATAGTAAAAATGTTTACAATAAAATTATTCATACAAGATTTTTGTACCAAATGTCACCATATGAGATTTTATGGGGGAATGCCCCAACCACTGATTCCTCAAGAAACTGAAGTGCACGTGGCTCTAAGGAATTTCACGGAATACTCCAGAAAATTTCCCTTCAGATTTAGTTTCCTTAATGTTTAGAAGGTTCAGGCAGGGTATCCTGCTGATTTTATTATTGGAAGCTTCTCAGTTTCAACACAATTAATCTGAATTATAGCAATAATCCTCTGCATCTCTGTATGTGAGTCTGTCTTTAAAAATGCAATCATCATGGTCAGCATCAAGGTGTTTGTAAAATATTATCAGGACACTCAAAACCATCTGAAAGTTATGAAAACCAAGTTAATGCTGAGGAAAAAACCGAGAATTTCAGACATGTGCAGTAACTAGTCAATCATTGAATGTTTCCACACAAGGTTGTGCAACAGGTGGTCATCGAATAGGTGGTCGGCCTCGATCAGGAGAGACCAAACTGACATTGCTGAAGAGCTGCAAGCAAAAGTGTAAATTTTTAGGAAGCCGCAAGGCGGGATGGGGGTAAAATGGTGGAAATCTCATTCTTTCCTCATGCTTTCAAGAAGGCAGCGATGTATGGTGATGCAAATATTTACATCAGTATACATCGCAGAGCTGTCCCGTCTGTGTTCCTCTCGAGCCTTCTTGCCCGCGTGCCACCTCCTCTTTCTCCCCTGCACCCAGTTGGCTTGTCCTTTAGTCATTAGTACCACTGCCACCGTTAAATCACTGGCTTTGTGACATGGTGTTAGGATTGCAGCTTAGGAGTCTTAGTGACAGCGATTATACTGAGATTACTTGATTGCTTTGATTCTGGACGAGAATGCACAGTGTGAATGTGGAAATTGATAATGTGCAACAGTTAGTATTCCTTCAAAACAGGTAGAGTAGGTATGATTAAGGCGTGATTCAGAGAAATTAGACATATATTCTAAGAATCTTCAATGGTTCAAATTTTTCCAAATTTTAGAGCTCATCATGTTTGAAAGTTCGGAAATTGTTAAAGTTCGAAAATGATAGAATTTCTCAACATAAGAAGTTCAAAATGTTTGAAAATTCCCAAATGTTTTGAAACCCGGGTTTAATCTTTGAACCTCCAGTTCAAAAAAAAAAAAGATTCCAGCATATACTTCTATATGCAACTGAACAGTCGATTCAGCATAACTAAATGCAGAAATGTAAAGTGGGGCAGCACATTAGGGTGTTGGGGCAGGAGAGAGCGTTGTGTTTTTAATATGAATGTCCATGTCAGACAGTACCGAAAAACCAGCTGCTCCATCTCGTGCTCCGTTCGTATCCACCTTCCTCTTCGTCCTCGTCCTCGTCTACCAGCAGCCAGGATCAGCTTTTAGACACAACAAAATCCCTCCTCGAAGCAAAGTTCAACAGGGGAAGAACCAGACTGGAGGTTTCTTATTTCTTGTGAACTTTCGTGGAGCTGGAAGTGGCGGCTGTGCATCTGCTCCAGCTTCTGGATTTGCGTACTCCATCTGTGCTTTGTGTCTTGCTGGAAGGCGTGTTCGAGACACCCTCGACAAGTTCCAGCATCTTCCTCCTGACATGACGAAGGTGCTTGACCCTACCGTTTCATGAATTCTTTCAGGGGGGCCAAACGATGGTGTTCCCTTCGGTCAATGTGTAGGGATCTTTACCCGTACATAATCTCCATTTGGTTTTCAAGACGGGCGTCGCCGTAGCACATCGTTCGTTGACGTCAAAAACGTGCCTGCTCTGAAAACGTTTTTCGCCTTTTTTCTAGTGGCATTGCAGAAGAATGATCCCACTATAATATCTTTAAAGCCAGCTCGAAGAACTAACGCTCCAAGCACGAGCACTTGCGCCGCCATAGCTTTCGAAGTTAAGAGCCGCTGTCGTCTGCTACCTCTCAATATTGCACACCAGCAGCGATACAAGTGGTGCTGCGTGTGCAGAGCCATATAAGGGGAGAGTTTAGCCAGTCTATGATCTCACCACCGTAATTCCCCCCTCCTGAGTGAGCCAATCAGCCCGTGACGCAGAGCGAAGGGCGTTAGTGCAAGCACATGAACTCTCGGCTGCCCCCAGCTGGCGGGGAGGGCCACCATTTTCAATCATTCGCCCGGCGGAATGCATGGAACCGACATCCGAGTTTCGGTTCTTTTCTTTTATTTGGCAGGCTCTGGCAAGAAAATGATATAGTGCTATTCCTCGGTGGCTTAAAAAGCTAGTGAATTAAGTTTCACCACGTGTGAACACAGGCAAAAAAGAAATTAGCCTGTAGCAGACGACCCGTAGCCTCAACAGTGCTCTGCACCGACAGCGTCGCGTCGAAATGGCGGTCGTCTCCTCTTTGCTCCCTTCTTTCTCTCTTGCTCCTTCAGCGCTCTCCTCCCTTCACTTTTCTCGTCTCCAGCGCATTCGCCGCCACACCCACTGGCCAGACCCTGTTTCCAAAGCACCCCCTGTAGGTCCCACATACAGCGTATATACCAACGAGGTAGAGGGCCTTAAAACGATAAACTTGCAGCTGAAAGTGACCCCCCATTGGCCGCCGGCATGTCGCACATTTTTTTACCACTAGACAAGCGACTGTTCCGAATCCTGACGCTTTCATGCAAGACTGAGCCTAGATTTATATTGCGATTGCTGTAAAAAATATGCTAAACTTTTTTTCAATACTGTTAGCTCCAGAGATCAGTAGGCTCGTTCAATTTACCTGCACTTCCTGGACCAGTGCAGAAAGGTGTAGGGCAGTGTATTTCCAGTCCTATCTCAATACAGATGCCGGAAGTAGACTGCCCTACACTTTTCTGCACCGGTGTAGGAGGTGCAGGTAAATCGAAAGAGCCTAGTGTCTAGCTCCGATAAAAGCCCAAAATACAGCACCGTGGCTGACAGCCTCTAGCAGAGGCGTGGCGAACCTGCCCGACTTTTTGTCGTAAAAGCTCATTTTGGACTTAAAACAAACGAAACATAACTTATTTCATCGGCAATTATATGTGCGCGGTACTTTGTTAAAATCTAGACGTAAAACTATGCGAAGCGCAAGTTCGTCTGCTTCTTGCACAGGGGTTACAATGATGTCTAAACGCCGAGCTCTTATTGGCCGATTAAAGAATATAGTCGGTAGACCTCAAGGAATCTAGCATTGTCTACCCTCTATCCTTTCAATCAAAACCAATCAGAACTCAGTGTCATTCTGATGTCACTGCAACTCCTGCGCAAGAAGCAGACGACTTGCGCTCCGCATAAGGTCACGTGTCCAGTGGTCAAAAATGTGCAACATGGCGGCGGCTAATTGGGGGTCATTTTTGCCTGATGGATGGCAAGTTCATTGCTCTAAGCCCCTTCACTTCGTTTGCATATACCTGGGGTGGCCAGGCTGACCCATCCTATGACCGCAAACAAAACCAAGAAACTTGTAGGAGCCGCGGGGGGGAGGGGGGGGAGGTAGGGAACATCTGTTAGCTAAATGGGACAAGTATCACCGGCGAGTGACAAGGGCCGCGATACTGAACATTTCCTCGACCCCAAACCAAAGTGCCTGCATGGTTTGACAGTCCCTGTCCTTGATGCCTTTCCCCCTAGGGTCTGGCAGACTCCCTCGAACAATAAAAGAAACAGGGTCTGTGGAAACATACGAGTGAAAAGCGGTTTGACTGTACATATGAGGGCACAAGGCTGCCGAACCGCAAGCTCTTCTTTATTCTGAAATCCTTGGCAAACGCGGAAAGGGCGAAAGGGGACGGGGGGGACGTTCCCTTACGAGGGATCCGCGAGCCTCACTTGAACCAGCGAAGAGCCGCATGCGGCTCGCGAGCCGCGGTTTGGCCACCCCTGGTATATACTTATAAACCCAGCTCAACTCCATTCATAGTATTCTGCACTGATCCAGCGTTTTAGTTTAGATTTCAACTAGAGTGCTTGTGCCCTTGAATAGTTTTAAGGCTATATAGAGACAGCAACAAAATGAGCGACTCAGCATAAAAAGGAATCATTTATATTCTTGCACAAAGATGCACTGCAGCAAAGTGAGATATGCAGGAATGCAGTCTACCACAGGTGGTGCCTCTTCGCAGTGCACAAGCACTTAAAGTGACCTCAACTTGGCTGTACAAGATGGCCAAAGTGACCGCAAAAATGAGAAATGTTGCATATTTTCCAAGGACATTGCAAGTTTGAGGCGAGTAACAAATCCAACCGTATGCTATTTGAAGTGATGGTAAAATGCTTAAACTATTTACACGCCTGTGGTAACAAACAGCAGTGTAACATAACAAAAATAAATTTGATGCAAATGGCCCAGCCGTGGCATCACCAAGCACACTCCCATTGTCAGCTGGCAAAGATCAATCAAGTCCAAAAAAAGGTTGAAATCAAAGCTTACATTGGTATTGCTCGCTCGTAAAATGTTCATCAACAGTAGCGAGGCAGTAAGGCAACGCCTTGTTGTGGAAAGTAGTTTATTTGTGATTCACTGAATCTACAAAGAACGGAGGAGGACAGTAACGGACATTTTTTTTTTACGGCCTCAGGAACATAATTTAACTTGGAGCAAAGTGGAAGAACTAGATTAACAAATTCAATGCATGGATATCCAGACAACTTTAGAAGAATGAGTTTTCAAAATGTTGTCACAAAAATTTATATATAGGATTCAAGGTGTCTTGATTAACCCCAATGCTCCTCATCTACTCAAAATCAACAATTAGAGTAGCTCTATGTGTCATAAAACAAAAATTATCACAAAGTTAAAAGCTGCTAAACTGTATTAAACAATAAATGCTGCCCAGCAGTACTGCAGCTGTTGCCTAATTGCAAATGATAATGTTGAGAGCTGATAAATGTGCCTCTATTTCTCCACTTCATTTAAACAGAGAAGAGACAGGCAGTGATGTGCACACTGAAACATGAAAGAAATCTTCAATACTTCCAGATATTGCATGATGCAGATCCCTCATTCATGCATTTTTTTCCGATGCCTACTTAAATGGTGACCCTGTTTAAACATTTTCCCACAGACTTCACACTTGTAAGGCCGCTCCCCACTGTGGGTTCTCTCGTGACACAACAAGTTGGATTTGTGAGAAAATTCTTTCTCACAGGTGCCACACTGGTATGGTTTCTCGCCCGTATGGACTCTTTTGTGAAGCACCAGGTGACTTTTTTTTACAAACGCCTTCTGGCAAACCTCACAACAAAATGGTTTCTCCCCCGTATGAGTTCTCACGTGAATCCGCAAGTCACTGCTAAAAGCGAACGCTTTCTTGCAGATAGAGCAGTGGAAAGGCTTCTCGCCTGTGTGTCTCCTTTCGTGCCTGGTGACATTATGTAGAATTTCATTGGAGTAAGGACAGAACTCGCAGTGATACACGCCCTCATATCGTGGCCGCGTCGTAGGTTGTGACTCGACCAGTTCGCTTCTTGGGGAAGGGGAGTCGCTCTCGCTGTCTCCATCGTCCCAAAAGGCCGCATCGGCCGGCACTGTTGAGGTGAGAGAAGCAAGACAAGGAAAGTCAAAGACAACGAAAGTCCAACGCCAAGGCGAAAACATTAGACAAGCTTGGCAAGTCTGCCTTCAGCAGAAAGCTGCACACTCAAAACAAGCATCTCGGCTCCTGTTCGTTTAAGAACAAAGAGAACAAACTCTGCAATAAGCAATTAAAGTATTAAGCGATTCTGTTATTAAGGTCATGTGATATCACAATTTAAGTTAATAAAAAATTGGTAAGCGTAGCCCATGTCATGCAGAAAACGTTCATGTGCACTTCATCTTGCATTGAAGCAGCTCATCTCGCATCCTAATAGCCGTAAACAATAAGTCAGCCTATTTTCTGGGCTTCAAAATCGCTATGACATATAAGGCTGCAGTATGTGCTATGGTACAGTGGAAGTACCATGTAATGATGTCTGTTCATTGTAATAATGTTTTACAAAACGTCAGTGTACACTCGATGTCCCCATAAATCTATAAAAAAATACCACACAAATAGGAAATGCAAGCACTGCTTCCAGTACAAGAATGCAATTTACGAAACAACTGCTGACACCTTGTAGCCTCAAGTACCAGGCAAGAGCATGCATCGCAAGACAGCACATCACAATGGTTTTGCGATCAGGTAGGTGGACTGCCTGTGCTCATCTAAATTTTTGGGATTCATTTCATGCATAAATTAGGGCGAGGAGAAAAAAAAATATATACCTCTATTGGAACTGCCTAAAAAGGCACAACCGATTTAAAGCCAATTTGAAATTAAAAAATAGGGTAGCAAGTTCATCAAATTTTATTTAAAAAAATTAAAAACCAATTGGAGGGGAGATCCACTTTATGCAATAGGAGACACTCATTTCGATGATGCTAGACTGGAATAAGCAGGAACACTGCACAGAAAATGCATGCTCCCAAAAGGTGAGTTGGCCAGTGCGAAGCAGCCTCTCTGCAAAGCAACACTGTGTCATTCGCCAAATCTTGCGACGGTTGCCAGAGTCGACCTGTGAAATTGAGAAGAGAATAAATTGCAAATATACTGGCAGCCTGTGTGAGGCAAGCATTCGCCCTCTTTTTAACACTCCAAACATTGCACACTGACGTAAACACCAAAAGCATATCGTAGCAAAAAATATGGTAACAGGAGTGCCCCGAAAAAACAGTCGCAAGGAAAACAAACAGGACCAGTGTTCATATGGCCAGACTCTGTACTACTCACACACTGAATTCTTTTTATTATATGTCATACTTTTTTCATTAAAACTTTATTAGCAGTGTTTTTATTTGGCTGAATTTTCTAGCAAGAAGCAAAGTACAGCTGAGAAAGTATTCCAGTTCGGCAACTGCACGAAAAGTATTTATCAATGTAAACAAAACAATAAATAAACACATCAACTTCACTTTTCACCAAAGAAAGCAGAAAATTGATTGCCCATATTTAAGCATTTTAAAATCCTTGAGCTCACAAGAAACCAACTCAGTTTGTGGAACACCTTCCAGTAAAGTGTTCCACATATATCTAAAAAAAAAACTACAATAAGAAGGATGTTGCAGAAAAGAATCTCTGGAATCAAAACATTTTGACAAGTACCTAAATAAAACCTTACAATGAGAGGGACCTTGCAGAAAAAAATTTCTGGAGTAAAAAATGTACTTTACATTCCCAAGTCTTCAAAAAATGGCCTCACCCCCCCCCCCCCCCCCCCCTCCGAGGCCCCTCTCTCTGGTTTCACCTTTCCCACTAACCCTTTCCCCAATCTTCGGCAGCTCGTTGCTTGTCGGTTTGGCAATAAAAGACCTCAATGTGTTGAAAGTCGAAAGATGTTTGTCCTGTTCGTCCTCTCTGTCACTCGTATTTTTCAATCAATGTTCTCTTGTGTGTACCACCTATGAAGCTGCACTTACATCTGGGGCTCTAATAGTCCCTTTTACAAAGTAGTGACACTCTCATGCAGTATACATGAAGAATGGATGGAACCTTGAGGTGAATGTTTGCAAAAGGGCCCATTGAAACAGATTTGTGTTTACAAATAAAATAATGACACCGTTTAGAGTCCCTTTTGTCTCATGAACCATTTCACTCGCCATGCTTTTGCCAAGTGCCAACTTCAATATTAAGAACGTGAAGAGCTTTAAAAGGAACACCGTAGCCTTGCTTACTTTTCCCAAAAAAGAAACAACTTTTTACATTATTAATTAAACAGCCACCCAAATAATACTGCTGACAGGTACATATAACCCCAAAGTTTATCAAGAGCTAAAAGACATGAAGAAGCTTGAATTCAGCACGAATGGTGTCTCCAAGTATTAATATTGTAATGTCCCGAGAGATGCCCCACCCCCTAAGATAGCCCACAGCTATTTTTGGCGTGACTTGCTATTTTCTTCAGAAACACTCCAAGACAGCCCGCTTCCGATAATTGCAGGACCCTGGCCAATGCTGACCTCGGAAAAAAAGGGTGTTACTTCACCACGGCGGGATATAGGCAAACATTGCTGACTGGGGAGTACAGTAGTCATTGGTTAATCACCCCTCCCTGCAGCCACCAGTATCAAAGGTCACCAAATCTAAAACTACATAATGTTTTTTCAACTTTTGTTTTATGGCACACCAACAGTTAGCCCACCCCTTCTTTTCATCCGATTTGCGATAAACTTTTGGTGGGCAATATCTGAAGTTATTACAATAGATGGGTATCCCACAAGGCTGGCACCTCGTTCGATTCAAACATAGATCACCTTACAAGATCGCTTTTCCACGGGTCTAGTACAAGTACCGGCGCTCTCCCCAATGAATCCTTCAGGGACTCATCAAGTGGGTTGCATGGTCGAATGCTTGCCCAAAAGTGCTGCACTTTGATATATTCTTTCCTCCAAACACGTCCTTTCATGTCTGGTGATGTAAACTCTGCCGCACGCAGAGTAAAGACAAAAATGGCATTGGTGTTTGTCTTCTCGCTGCCTGGGGAGACTCCCACTAGCCCTTCCCTTCTTTGCCGGTGGTGCCTGAGGTGGGTCCTGCTGGGAACATGCGGCACACCAAGTTGAATTTGGAAACACTGATGTCGCAAAATGTTTAGTTTGTACCATGCACTATTCATGTAAAAATAAACAATTGCTTTTCGAACACTTGCATGCTATTATCACACATCTTTTTGCTATGGCTTTTATAAAGAGCTATATAAATTTTTGAAACTCCAAAGTTTCTTTTTCTGTTTATCAAAGGCACAACCAGTGAGCTGGCATCACAATGAGTGCAGTAATAGATATAGCTTTGGAGCAGAAATATTTCTATGCCCTTACAAGCATATACACCAGCTTGCAGCCTTGCTTGCAGCCTTGCAGCCGCCACAGTGACGATGCTGTTGGCATGGAACATGCAGAGACGCTTCACTTCACACAAATCTGGTTTCTGCACAAGCGCCGTGCACACTACCGGTACAAACAAATACCGGCTCGCTTGTAAGCAGCACAATGGCTTATAGGCATATAAGATGATATGTTTTGCAATATCCATTCATATGCTAAAAGTCTATTATTTCAAGAATAACCATTGGCTAAACATGCAGCACGAAAAAAAAACACAGACTTTTGCAGTGAAAGAATGCAGTTACAGCACAGGTATTTTTTCACCTTCTGTGCCTGAAGTGATCAATGCAAGAGCGGCAACAGGACTGCACCACAAAGGATTTGTTGTTGTTGATTATGGGTTTAATGGTGCAAAAGCTACTGAGGCCATATTTTGCCATGTAAGACTAATTTAGAAATATTGAGAATATTATTGTAATCAGTTTTAAAACTAATAACTGGGATAAGATGACAATCTAAAATGTAGTTGAACGAAAGTAAAGGCTCATTACCAATCAGGAACATGGAACGAAATGGAAGATATCCCCTAAAAGCTCTGGTAAGCACAATCAATGTAGATGGTGATAAAAACTACTTTGGCACAAGATATGCAAGATAGTCAAAAGTTGCCCACAATGGTCACAAAGCTTTGCACCTTGCCACAGAGAAGGTATTGGCGTGCCCAAAGAGAATGACCAATTCTCACGAGGCAAAGGAGAACTTCAGGACAACAGTCTCTGTGAAAGGAGCCCTCCGAAATTTTCAAGATGGGTTAGATAACATGAAGTTCGTTTTCTTTTTCAACGTCCCATTCCAGCTGCCATGAGTTAAAACTTGATTTCTTGAAAGTGCCTTGAAATCCCGATGGGGCAAGCCAAAGGAGGCTTCTATAGAATCCTTCACAGATGTAGCCAGCTTATCTGCATCTTTATTTCCTCTAATGCCCGCATGGCTCGGCACCCAGCAAAATTTGATAATTTGTTTGAGCTGGAGAGATGGATTTAGTTTTACACATAGAAGGCAATGCGGTAGTTTGTTGCAACTCAAGACGGTAGGGCGAGGGAAAGAAAGGAAGGGGAGGAGGAAGCAGATGGAACGCTGAAGACAGCGAGAAATCTCCTCCTTTCTTTATCGTTCCGTCTGGGTTCCTCCTCCCCAAGCTTCCTTTTCCTAGCCCTACCTTGATGAGTTGCAACAAACTATAGGAGATTCTTTGTAGGCATCACACCAGCTTCAGACACCTGATACTCGCCAACTACATCAAGGGCTGTCCACACAGGGCTCTGCTTGTGCTGTACTCAGCCTTCGCTAGACGGAAAGGGAGGTCTTTCCTTGCTCTCCAGTCCGCTTCGAGATATTTACTGCCAGAAAAAAGCCACTCTCTCTCTAATGGCATCCTTGGACAAAGCCTTGGGGCATGCACATGACGTGGGTACAAGTGGCACTCACAAGCTTTGCTGGCTTAAGGCCTAACTCAAGGGCTTCGCTGTTGATGCCAGTCCCAAATCTCTCAAAAGCAAAACAGGAGAGGAGACGGCAGCGAGGAGGTAAGGAGATGTCATACTGCTTACTTGGTTCATGTGCCCGTTGGAAACGCATGCGCACGTCTAAACACTCACGCTTTAGAAGTGTATGTATTTGTTATGCACAGCAGATGTTGTGCCCTGCATTGACAGTCATTTAGTTGTGGATCCAGAGGAGGCTCAGGGAGGGTCTGCCAGTGCAAATTTGTCA